AGAAGGCCTGGAAATATAAAAACGAGACCCCTCCAAGTCCAAAGTCCAAACCCTAGTTTAGTTAGATTTATATATATCATTAGAATTGGATATATACATACGCATTACTCTCTCCCCCCCTCCACCAGTGTTCTCCACCACCTTCTAAAACTCCAATTCTCTCTCTCTCTCTCTCTCTCTCTCTCTCTCTCTCTCTCTCGCTCTTTCTCGAAGCTTCTCGATCTGCAAAAGCCGAACTTGACAATTCCAGCTCTACTCCTCCGAACCCCCAAACCCCAGCAGATTGGTAACCCCGCAATTTGCTTCAATTCGCAGGTCAATTTCGCATTCGATAACCCTATGCACCTCTTTTTGTTGACGAGCGTTTTGATTGTTTGAGCTGTTTCGGTCAATCACTCAATTGGGTTTTGGAATTTTTTGTATTTGGCAGCTTTTGAAGTGTGGGACTACCGGGTTGGACCAGTGGGCAAAGAGCAGGGAGGAAGAGCTGGAATTACGGTCTTGGCCTCGTGATCTGGGTTACTGCTAGTTCAAGAGCAATTCGGGATCCATGTCAGAGGTCTGCGCTTTGCTTGACCAATCTCCCCCTCTTTTTCTCTCTCAATAGTTCAAAATATTATGTTTCTTTTGTTTCTTTGGGTTTTGAAGTTTATGTAATTGATTCTTCTTCCAAAGACATTTTTGTTGATAATATCAATATTTTAGAGACTTACCCTTTGTTGTTTGTCCAAAGATTTGCTTTGGGTTATCTTAAAAGTTACTTGATTTCGTCTCATATTTATTGGGTAGTTTCAGTAACAATAGAGATTTGTTGACGGAAAGAGAGAACACAGAAAGGAGAAATCTTTGAAGGATAAAGCTTAGCCTTGTAAGAAATAATTAGCATTTTATATTGGGATGGGTAAATGTGGCTACTAATGTTCTCGAAGTTAAGAAAATATGGCAATCAAATTTGTGTCATTGGTAGTGAAATTGAAACCTCATCCCATGCTTAGTTGCTTGCCCTAGTTCAGTTACGACAATGGTGTCCTTTGAGTCATTAGTGATAGTCATAGATTGCTTGCTGATTGTCGAATCTGTAGTAGGAAAAACTGAGCAAAAGCTTTGTTGAATTAGTAAGGGAGTATTCTGAGTTCTTTTGGGGTCACCCGCCTGCCTTGCTCAAGAGTCAACATTAATTTCTTCAGTGGTTTCCTTTGAGTTTCTGAAAGCATCCCCTGATTAATTAGTGGCCCTGTTTTATGTGGGGTCCAGAGTAGAGAAATAAGCATAGGAAGCTGGATATTATTTACTTTGGCTTGCTTATGAAGTATACGATTTAGTATGCGGCCCCGGCTATTTTTGGGAAAAAATATGTGAGGGTCTCCAATAGGAATGGAAGTGGTAGGTGTCTTCGGAATTATACAGGAAAATGGATGTCTCTAGTGTCACACAAGAGGCTAGTTATGAAAACCTTGTCATGAACCTTCAACCACTTTATCTGAATATGTACTCAAATATTACTGTAATGTAACGGAGAAACACTGCAAATGTGTTACCTTTTTATATTTTGGGTTTTATATCTTCTTGCTGTTTCTATGGTTGTCAAAGCTTCCTCATGTTATCTTTTGTTTGTGACATCACAGTTGTTAGCGTCTTTCCACTTCATGCGACACTGACCCATGGATCCTGAAGGAACAAAGTTTGGACAAGGTAGAATGTTGTTTTTAATACGGTGCTTTATCACGGGGTTTCTCCTTTTCCCTTTTTGGTTTAACTTCATCTATAGTTGTATCTTTTATTTGTAGTGGCATATTTAACAAAAGTATTCATAGCTGAAGCACCCTTCAAAACCTCATTTGTTCACCTATAGCACTGAATTTTGAACTTGTCCACCCTTATCCATCTGGTTAATTTCAGAAGCTCAATAGTTCATAACAATATCCCTGAAAATATACTTATTCCAATCTAGTTGACAGCATAATTCTTTTGCTTCTATTAGTTTAAGAGTATTTTATTTTATCTGATGAGATGCTGTTGGATATAGGACCAAAAGAGCTGACCGGTGCTGTAGATCTCATAAGTCACTACAAGTTGCTTCCCCACCATGAGTTTTTCTGCAAGCGATCACTTCCTGTATCAATCTCAGACACACATTATCTTCATAATGTGGTGGGAGACACAGAAATTAGAAAAGGAGATGGGATGCAGTTGGATCAACTTATTCAGAGTACATCATATTTCAGTAAACCACGCATACAGCCTTTTGACCTAGATATTCTCAGAGAGGCTTTCCATCTTAGAGAAACAGCTCCTATTGATTTGCCACTCGTGAGAATTCTACTTGTAGTTATTACTATTGCTGTTCCTTTTTATAGTTTCAGAGTTTCTTACTTATATTGGACGACAGTTGTGTGAAGTTTCTTCTTTTCCAATAAATACATGGTCTTGCAAAATTGTTTTCCTTTCCATGTTCTCATTTTATTTGATATGTTTTGTCTTCTATAGGCCGATAAGGGGACTCCAACTATTGCAGCGAAATCAAAGAGTGAGTCTAAAGACAAGGAGAAGAAACACAAAAAGCACAAAGACAGAGATAAAGAGAAGGATAAAGAGCACAAGAAGCACAAACGCCGTCATAAAGATCGAAGTAAAGATAAAGACAAGGAGAAGAAAAAGGAGAAAAGTGGGCATCATGAATCGACTGGTGATCACTCGAAGAAACACCATGAAAAGGTTGGAAAATTGTACACTCGTACGATTACATTCCTTTTCTTCAGCACTTGGTAATATTAACAAGAAACAAGAAAATAATGAAAATAAAAAATTGTCCAAATAGCTATATTATGGTCTCAACTGTTGGTCCCCACCCCCTGCCCCTCCCCATGGGCACTAAAAATAAGCTTCCGGGTAGTTGTAAGCTGCTGTTGTTTTTTGACCAGTCTAATTACAGTTTTTTGTTTTACCAGTAACAAATTTAATGTTTATTATCATATAAATGTAGTTAAATATTCAGAGGGATTTACATGCTTTAGTTTTGGTACTTTGTATAATTTCAGAAAAGGAAACACGATGGAGATGAAGATCTTAATGATGTTCACAGACACAAAAAAAGTAAGGTAATATAGACATGAAACTCTGTTTGGAAGTGAACTTTTGTATGTCCGATTCTTACCTTTATTTTTTCCTTGTGATGCACATGATTGTGCCCAGTATTCTTTGTATAGTTCCTTTCCATCCACCTTTAACCAATGTCTTTGTTTCTCACTAACTTTTCAGCATAAGAGCGCAAAAATTGATGAAGTGGGTGCAATCAGGGTAGCTGGCTGAAATGATGGGATACTTTAGTAATTTTGTTTTCTTCAATGGTTGTCGTTCATAGTTTCGAGGGGTCCTTCACTTGATTTTGTGTTTCTTGAGGTACACAACTTTACCTTTCCTGTATATCTAGATTAAGATACTCTGTACTTTTAGTTTCTTCTTAATAAATGATTAAAGATGCACCAATATCTGCCTTGCATTGTTTCCATTTTATATCTTACCTCTTCATGCTGATGGTTCAACTCCTCATTTTTCGTCACACTTGATATGGCTTTTTGTTTTCTTTGATATTGATCTGTTGAGGTTGGCATGGGAATACGGAAATATAAGTTGGCAGGCAAGTTAGAGAATGAGTTAGACGGATATAGTTATTATTTGGAAGTTAGATGTCGTAGTTGAGGTTGGTCAAATGCATTGTACAGTGAATAATTTATCTATTTCTGACGTTGGAGTAAAGCAGCTAAAGTGATTGGAAAAAAGGCCATTTGGATTAAGTAGGGCTGCGATCTCAAGTTATCATACAACTTATAAAGTTCATTTATTACCTATTGGCCTCCTGCTCGTTGGCTGGGTGATAATATAAGACTATCCAGTAAAATATCTTTTAGAATATTATTATGCTCGAGCCCTATATATGCGTACTCTTCATCTCATCTATATGGTAATAACAATGTTCCTTTTTGATATGCTGTCATTTATGCAATACTGGCGGGTCTTTAGGCCTTTTAGTTTTGTATAATTACCCTTCTCTGTTTACAGTACAATTTTTGTTCATCACAATTACCATATGAATGCCAAAACATCGATTCTCCTTTTTGAAAAGTTTTCTTATTTTATAGGCTTATGTGCAGTAGTTGTATTGTTGTTATCACTTGCCAAGAAGCTTGGATACATGATGCTTTTCGTTTATGTGCAGAATAACTTCTGAACTGACAAAAGATTGTGAAGAAGGTGAATTCACCTGCTGAAAAAATATGTGGATTAAAGGTAAAAAGTAGTGAAATGGACTTCTTTGTATTATAACAATGATCTAATATGACTGCCAGTAATTTGAAAAAAACTCTGCTATTCTGTTTTCATGGCACATTGGATGTTGTAGCATGTTCACGGTTTTACGATCTCTTTGCATTTTTTATAAGTCCAGAATTTATAGTTTGTGAGGTAGAGTTTGTAGCTTCCAGTATTAGGGAGAATAGGTTAGGAAGAGATTGTACATACGATTCCTTTATTCCTATTTGTATCAATGGCTAACTTCACTAATTATCCAAAAAAGATGTAACGTCTAGTCTTATGTTGGTTCTCACCTGAATTCTGACTGGTATCAGTGAAATATTCTTTGTGCATGAAGAGGAAAGACAGTGATGATAGGTATTTGAAACAATCATTATTAGTGTGAATGACGTCATTCTTCTTTGCTGTTTGCTCGTGATGGTGACTTTTCTTGGTCCCCTTTTCAATTTAGGTTATCTATGTGTAGATTTCTGGTTTGCTTGTAACTAGCATCTAATGGGATAATTTATCTCCTAGTACCCTCTAAGTTGGAAACTTTGGAAACGAGATGGTATAAGCTGCCTTGTGTGTGATTAATTACAGAAACCATCCCTTTCAGCGTCCAGTTTTACTAAACCCTCATGAGAGAGAAGCCTCCCCTAGAATGTGAGTGAGCAAGTGGTCCAGTTTTTGGGTTACCTTGTTGTCGGCACCTTTTGATGAGAAAAAACATGACAGGACCATACTGAAAATAATTATGACAGGGAATCAGGGATTAAGCTAGACTACGATGCTCAGTGATTTAAGCTGTCTTGCTGGTGTAGTAGCTATCCTGGACTCAATGTGACAATGCTTAGTTTTGTTGTTGGAATGGTTTACATCAGTGGCAAGACATTGTTCGTCTTGACTTGACAATTTAGAGCAGTTACCCAAGTCTGATCATCTTCTAGATCTTTGGGACAGAGTCTTGTATTGAGAAGTGATCATGTAGTGATAGAGAGGTGATTCTTAGTTGCAAGTTGCATACATTTCATGCCACATATTTTGTATCTCACGAGGCATGTGCTATAGCTATCCAGGTGGTTTCAAGTATGAGCAAAAGCTATATTTGTTCCTTACTCAAGGGAAAAAAACAAAATTATTAGTTTGTTCTTATGCATCTTATCTCACCGTTTATGCGTCGGGGATGTATCTTGATAAGCTGCCTGGTATGCCCGTGAAATGCCTTAAGTTGAAATTGTGTCAATTTTGTTTGCCCATCACTTTGTATCAGTTGGCTAATGGTGAGCGACGAGCCTCCATTTTATGTACCCATAAGTAAGAGATTTTTGTGAAAATATCTGGATGCCTCAATTTTGAGTTGCTTTGGTGATTTTTTGTTTTGTTTTGAATCTTCAGCCCTCCCATTTTCAACATTGAGATTAAAATTGGACTGCGTACAGAATTTCTGGATCCGTTGCCCTTTTTCTAATATAAAAAAAAGGTGCTACAACTGCACCTCATGTATGAGTGGAGAACAAGATTGTTATTCGTTGGCGGTACCCCAACCAAAACACCAATATTTTTTTTATGTTTAACAAAAGAAACATGTTTATGCTGACAGTATTGGTATTGCATTGTCTCCCAAAATGGAAAAAAAAGAAAGAAAATCAGGGAAAAATTTGAACGGAAAGACTCACCAGCTACTAGCAACCAAGTGGTTTTTTGATATGTAAATCTTCCAGAGGGTTGGATGAGAGAGTGGGCTAATAATGAAGTTTTAGGCCATTATTTCCACGAACGAAAGGGGCATATTTTGAGGTTCCATGAATGACTGATGAGCGCGAGCTGGTTGCATACATTATCCTTCCCACTAAAACTCAAACAGACAGCAAGCAAGAAGTGATTTCATATCTTCCGTTTTAAAAAGATAATAACAACCCAATACAGGAACTGCATTTTCACTTTCATCTGAGTTAAAAATACTCTGTTGGGTTAATCCATGAGCGGGCGAGGGACCCACATTTGGGCACTTCGGGTCCTGGAAGTCATGTAGGAGAAATTGCTTCTCCATTTTGCTTGACTAAAGAGACAAAAGGACAAAAAGAGTCAATGCGGGTCCCGAGATTTCACTCTCTGGGTCCTAATTTTCCAAGCATAAAAGCGCTTCTGATCTGATTTGCTTGAAGAAAAGCGAAATTCTAACCCCACGGTCACGTCCATGGCTTGCTTTCTTTAATGCAGAAGCGGAACTAACTTTTCCTCCTCATTTTCCCATCAACTTAAACGCATCGAGAAGGAGCCTTAACAACTCTCCATTTTGAGCCAATATAGAAGCACTTCTGGTCCTAAAGTGATGTAGGAGAAATTGCTTCTCCATTTTGCTTGACTAAGAGACTAAAGGGCAAAAAGAGTCAATTGGGGGTCCCGAGATTTCACTCTCTGGGTCCTAATTTTCCAAACATAAAAGCGCTTCTGATCTGATTTGCTTGAAGAAAAGCAAAACTCTAACCCCACGGTCACGTCTATGGCTTGCTTTCTATAATGCAGAAGCAGAACTAACTTTTCCTCCTCATTTTCCCAACAACTTAAACGCGTCAAGAAGGAGCCTTAACAACACTATAAGAACAACTCTCTCTCTTTCCACTCAACCACACCAGCAAGAAGAAGTGATTTTGTTATCTCCATCTTCTTCCAATGGCTCAAGAAGCTTCGTCTTCCAATACTTCTTCTTCTTCTTCTGGATATAGATATCATGTGTTCTTGAGTTTCAGAGGCAAAGACACTCGCAAGACTTTTACAGACCACCTCTACACAGCCTTTGTCAATGCAGGCTTTCGCACCTTTAGAGATGACGATGAACTCGAGAGAGGACAAGGCATCAAGCCAGAGCTTGAGAAAGCCATCAAACAATCACAAAGCTGTGTCATCGTGTTTTCGAAGGACTACGCATTCTCCGAATGGTGCCTTGACGAGCTTGTGATGATCCTTGAACGCAATAAGAGGAGTGGCTCTCAGGAACATGTAGTTTTACCAATCTTCTACGACGTCGATCCATCCCAAGTGAGGAGGCAGACAGGAAGTTTTGCAAAAGCATTTGCTGCACACCAAAAGAATCAATCTTTGGACAGGGTAAGCAGATGGAGGGCAGCACTTGAAGAAGTTGCAGATGTGGCAGGGATGGTCTTACAAAATCAAGCTGATGGGTAAATTCCATTCCAACTACTCCATTGATTAATTTTTATCACACCTGTGATCTCTTTCTAGATTCATCATCGAAATACTTACCAGTTTAGGTGTTTCCATTCATCTTGATTAACTTTTGTAGGTTTTGTGTTACTCTGTTCTTTCTTTTCCTTTCATATGCAATAAGAACTTTTTCATGATGTTATTTCCATGACACTCCATAGTTTAATTGCTTCCATAAGACTTTTGGCTTCTATTTCCATAAGACTTTATAGCTTATTTCCATGAGACGTATTCGATTCATTATTCGTTTTGATGCATATTATCTAGGCATGAGTCAAAGTTTATCAAGAAAGTTGTTAAAGTGATTGAAGACAGACTAAGTCGCACGCCTATATGTGTTGCCCGACACCTGATTGGAATCCATTCTCGGGTAGAAAAAATCAATCTGTGGCTACAAGAAGGATCAACTGATGTCAGCATACTTATGATTTATGGGATGCGCGGAATTGGGAAGACAACAATTGCAAAATATGTTTACAATTCAAACTTTAAAAGATTTGAAGGAAGCAGTTTCTTGGAAAATATTAGAGAAGTTTCAGAACAATCCAATGGCTTAGTCAAGATACAAAGGCAACTTCTTTCTGATATTTTGCATGGAAGAAAAGTGAACATACACAGTGTTAGTGAGGGGATAATTAAGATTCAAGATACTATTAGCTCTAAAAGAGTTCTTCTTGTTCTTGATGATGTGGATCATTTGGACCAATTAGATGCAATACTTAAGGATGCAAGATCTGTTTTATCCAGGAAGTAAAATCATCGTAACAACTTGCTGCGCAGTGTTGTTACAAGCTCATCACAAAGTTATTAAGGTCCATAACGTTGCAACTTTGGGATACACGGAATCATTGGAGCTCTTCAGTTGGCACGCTTTTGGGCAGGACCATCCTATCGTAGGTTACATGGCACATTCGCATAGGGTGGTATGTCAGAGTGGGGGACTTCCATTAGCTCTTAAAGTTCTGGGTTCTTCTCTGTCAGGAAAAAGTATAGCTGTCTGGGAAAGTGCATTAAACAAATTGGAAGTTATTCCAAACAATGAAATCCTAAAGAAAATCAGAATAAGCTTTGACTCTTTGCAAGATGACCATGACCGAAGTTTGTTCCTTCATATTGCATGTTTCTTTATTGGAATGGATACATATGTCATTAGCAGAATACTAGATGACTGTGGATTCTACACAACTGTTGCCATTCAAAATCTGATTGATAGATGTTTGGTAACAATTGATGAAGACAATAAGGTGGAGATGCATAACATGATTCGTGACATGGGAAGAGGTATTGTTCGCCTAGAATCAGAAGATCCAGGGAAACGTAGTAGGTTATGGCATCATAAGGATTCTTTCAAAGTATTGACGGAAAATACTGTAAGAAACATGCTCCCTCCTATGTATGCATGTGGATGTTTTTTTTCTTCTTTTTGTGCATCCATGTTGGTTACTTATCCTACTGTTTTCTACTCTTTTTGTATTAGGGTACACAAACAATTGAAGGTCTTGCCCTCAACATGCATACACACCCTGAAGTAGACATCCCTTCAAGAAGTTCAAAGGAACTAGTCGGTTTGGAAACCAATGCATTTGCAAGGATGCACAAATTAAAACTGCTTCAGCTTGGCCCTGTACAACTCAATGGATGCTATGAAGAATTTCCTAAAGGATTAAGATGGTTGTGTTGGCTTGAATTTCCTTTGGATTCTTTACCCAGTAATTTTCCTTTGGAGAGGCTGGTTGTTCTTGAAATTTGCTCTGGAAGCTTGAGACAAGTCTGGAAGGAAACAAAGGTATGCTACTCTACACGATATCCTTTCTTTCTTATTTTTCCTTTTTCTGGGTCACTCATTGATTATGCAGTTGTAAGATTTAGGTATACCTCTTTTCACCTTTCGTTTTCAATTTTTATTTCAGTATCTCTCATCACTGAAGATTTTAAATCTCAGCCATTCCAATGCCCTCGCTGAAACCCCGGACTTTTCGCATATCCCCAATCTGGAGAGACTGATTCTTAAAGACTGTGAAAGCTTGGTTGATGTCCATGAATCCATTGGAGACCTAGAGAGACTCATTTATTGGAATATGGAAGACTGCAAGAATATTAGGAAGCTTCCAAAGAACATGTGTATGCTAAAAGCTCTTGAAACACTTATCATATCTGGTTGCTCAAATCTTAATGAGCTTCCAATGGAGATGCGGAAGATAGAGTCTCTGAAGGTGTTTCATGCAGATGGAGTTCCAATACATCGATTACTCACCACCAATGAGGAGGTCAACTTATGGCCAAGAAAAACTCCAGAAATTTGTTGGGCTTCTTATTTACCATGCAATATAGTAGATTTAAGTCTTAGTGACTGCAATCTTTCTGATGGTGATTTTCCTAGGGATTTTGGTCAGCTATCTTCTTTGCGAAGATTAGATCTAAGTCATAATCAAATTTCTGGCCTACCAGAATGCGTAAGGGGTGTTACCAGGCTCGACCAACTCTCTTTTTACTCTTGTTGGAGGCTCAGATCACTTGTAAGGCTACCAAGAGTTGTAGGAAGACTGATATTGTCAGGTTGCTCATCATTGGAAAATTTATCATTTCAATCAGTATGTCTACCAGAAAGCATCCGTGTCGGCTCCAACTGGAGGCTACTTGAGATTGAATACTGCTATAAGTTAGAACTCCTTGAAAAAGTTGATGTAGAAATGATCAACCTTTTGGGGCTGAGCAACTTAGAATCTACCAAAAGCATTATGATTTCCACCATATACGAATCCCAAGCAGGTCTGAAGAACATGTGTCCCAGCCCGATCCTGGTCTCTCTCTCTCTCTCTCTCTCACACACACACACACACACACACATATCATATCATATGCAACCGTTTGACTAATATTTTAATTTCACTGGATAGGGACTATATCAATATGGGATATTCAGTACATTTCTACCTGGTAATGAGGTTCCAGGCCAATTCAGCCATAGGACTGCAGGGTCCTCAATATCTTTTACCCTGCCTTTACTTCCTAATCTCATGATCAGAGGCTTGAACATCTTTTCTGTGTATGCACAATCCAACAATGATTCTCCTCATAAGATTAATGTCAATTTCGAAATATTTCCATATCCCATAATCACTGAAGTCAGCAATAAGAGCAAGGGCGTGAAGTGGATCTATGGCCCGGCATTCTTTGGGGTTCCAGGTGACGGAGAAGACGCAATATGGTTAAGCCACTGGAAGTTTGGGAATCAATTAGAACGTGGCAATGAGGTGACTGTTTCATTATTTACCGTACCTAAGCTTCAGGTAAAGGAGTGTGGCGTGCAGCTTGTGTACGAACAAGAAGAGAAGATGGTGAGTAGCCAACACAACAACAACACAGATCCTTTTTATCCTTATGTTATTGGTGGAGATTTGTCAAATTTTGAGGTGAGGCTAGGAACATACTTCCTTTGCCGTCTACCTAAAGGTCTTACATCAACGATTATTGATATGGATGTGCGAGCATCGGTTTGGTCCAATTACCTCATTAGGGACTCTCTTCAAATCACAGGTGTGTTATTCAGTGTCCCATTTAATTTTGTTCCAACTACTTTCAGAAAAAAAAGGAAAATAATGATAACACTTACAAATTAGCACCACAGGCGTATTTGTTGACTTAGGTTTAGGCCGTTGATAGTTGATACCCCCTGAAACACTTCAAAATCACTACTCCACATTAACTGTGTGATGTTTTGTATGCTATACAGACAGAGAAGAAGAGCAGCAGGGTGACTGCACGCTTGCAGCACAGAGGAGTAGCAATAGCAATAACCGCGGTGGCAGAGGTTTGAAGGTGCTCAATCTCATCATCGCCACTGTCTTCTTTCTCTCTGTTCCTCTAGTGGCTCGCTCTTCTCTCCTTCGGCCAAAGAAGCGTCATGCTACAAGATCTCCATAGTTTCGTCATAGTAATCTGATGCCATCATCTTTGTGTTCTCTCTGTTCTGTTTTACATATCAGGCTTTCTTATACTGGATTACAATTTTGTGATCTTTTTAGAAAAAAATGGGTTCCGGAAGATATTGTATATATCGATAAAGTCCTTAGTTCGAATTGAAAGCAAAAAGATTTCATGTCACATATATGACTTCAACGCATAAACTTTGTTGAATGATCGATAGGTTCTTATAAATTCTTTTTGATTCTTTAATTAGAAAAAAAAAAAAAAAATTTCATACCGGGATGTAAAAATCCATAAGACTAGAGTCTCTTAAGAATTCTTGAGTAAAGCCATTTGCACCATATTGAAGATTGCATTGTAAACCACATGTTTAACAAATGGATGCCCTTAAGGTGTATGTACATATCACCTCTACCCTGAGATGCAATCTCTATTGCAATAGTCCTAAAGATGGTTCCTCTTCCTTTTTCAAGAGCTTTCGGAAACGTCCAACTGATTGGTTAGCTAGGGTGTTATCAACATGTATATATGAATGTAGTAATAACTTCGCCTAACTCAAACACCCACAAACAAAGGATAATTTTAAAACAGAAAAATAAATATAACACAAAGCAGCACCAAGACTTAGCGAGGTACGTCCTCACAGCCTCGGTGCTCACCTCGAGAAATTTCACTAGCATGAAAAAAAGACAATTTTGGTTACCAATCTCACCCTTACCCCACTCTAGATCTTAAGATCTCTCTCTCTCCCTCTGCCAACCTTTGCCACCCGTTGCCACCCTTTTATTGTATCGCAAGCTTGAGCCAATTTGAGAAATCCCACTGGACACTCGAGGACTTGTTGCAATACAATCCAGTGTCGTCTAATGCTGCCTGACGCCTTTTCTTCAATCCTGATCTTGAGTCCAAACTTCATGTTAACACTTTCGGTGAGCCAAAAATACAACAATAACAACCCGCCGGAGAAGGACGAGAAGCACTATTGGAAGGTGAGGCACTGTTACCATTAACATTAGCATTTGTAGTACTAGAAGGACCAACAGCCTGGGAAGAACCAGCTGGATCGACGCCTGGGCCACGATATGGTGAGGCATGGATGGGAGCAGTGGTAGGTTCAAGAGAATAAACAGGCACACCTGGCTGAGTCAGATGTTTTTCAAGATTCAACAGCACCTTCTGAAGATAATCAAAGGTGATAGCTGTGGTGCTAAACTCATATGTTGGGAAGGCATTCATGACAATGATCACTAAATCATGGTCAGCGATAGGGCTGCCTGCAAGCCTAAGATTATCTGCAATGGAGTTTATTTTGTTTAGGTAAGCCGCAGTGGAGACGTAGTCAGCCCTAGCTGCATGAAGAAGCTCACCACACAGCTGCAAAACCCGGGTGTCGATTGGAGAAGCATAATGCCTCTCCAAAGACACCCATGTTGTCCGTGAAGAAGCGGAGTCAGTCACGGTAGAGAAGACAGAGGGAGTGAGCAAGGCATTGATCCAATTCTGGATCGTTCGATCCACATGAATCCAGGCATCAAAGGCGGGATCAACATTAAAAGTACTTTTGCCTTGATCATCATTCAGAAAATAGGCGGGACATGGCTTCGTCCCGTCTACGTAGCCCATGAAATTTCGACCTTTTAAGTGACGAACAACTTGTGCAAGCCAAAGAGGGTAGTTTGTGCCATCAAGTTTGATAGCAATGGGAGGAAGGGTCCCGACACGAGCCGTGGAGGAGGAAGAGTACATGACGAAGGAGTAGCTTGAACAAACAAATTAAGATCCATTCAGTTGAAAGGTGATGGTGTTTTATATACAACTAGCTTTTTGTTATAGAGGCCGGTGTTTATAAAATAAAACTTAGAGGCCTGTTTGGATCGAATGGTTTGAAATAAAAAATAAATAAATTGGTATTTGAGTTTCATCATCATGAAATCCATAAACTATAATTTGATGATGAGTGCTCTCGTTTTCTCTAGAATTGAATTTATATATTTATATGGATTTCTTCTAATAATTAATTTCTTATAAGAGATGTCATCAACGCGGTTTGGATGTTTTAAAATTGTAATTAAGTTGACCCAACACATTTATTATTTAAAACAGAATGGAATTCTTCTATGTTTTAAAAAATAAATAAATAAAATTATTTTTCTGGTTGGGTGGCTCTCCAAAGTCAAAGTCCAAAGTAATAAAATGAAGCAGAAAGAGCTTTATAATTTAATTTATGCTGCCGTCAACTAAATTCATAAATAAAATCCAGTATTTTATTTATTTATTATCTGTACATAAAATAGAATAATTCCATTCTTTCTTAATCATCATGCGTGATGGGCAAGCTAAAATTTCTAAACACCCTAAACGCATTGATCGGGTTTGTATGCATCTCTTCTAAGATTTATTAGAAGAATAGGTTTTCTAATGATTAAGTAGAACTATCAACGCACGATATGTGTATTCGAAGTCACTTCAAATAAAATTTGCAATTTGCCATACCTAAAACCCTTCACTTTTTGTTCCTATAAATAATACCTAATTTGTATAAGTAAAAACCCATGACTAGGATCCAACTCAGCAAGTTACCTAATTAAGCATAAAATCTGATTTATTGTACTTTTCAGATTCCAAAAATACCCCCAACTAAGCCATTATTGCATTTTGTAAATTAATGTAGAAATCAATATGT